AGGAGATTGTCTTGACCATGTCTACATGCCTAAATGCACTGAATTGCCACCATGTGATTGGCTGATTAGAAATTAAGTGTTAACTAGCAGTTGGACAGGTGTACCTAATAAAGTGGCCGGTGAGTGTATGCATCACCAACACAAAGTGCTTAACTCACCTTGAGCCGCGTTTCAATTGACCTCCAGTGAGGTATGGAGAAAACAATGCCTATACTGTATTCGGTATGGCGCATGTGCACATACAGTACATAATACCCATGTGCTTCGCATCATACAAGGTTTGATGAAGCATGAGATAGCTGCGTTTAAAGAAGGTCAAAGTGATTTGATTTTAAAGTGGTAGTTGACAAGACGTAGCATGTCATTGTGGATGAAAGGAGAGCAGGAGAAAGAGACTACTGAGTGAGCTGAAGACAATAAAAAGCATCTGCTTTAGATTGCAAATTTTTAATTCCATTTTTGTATTCTTCCTCACTTGTCTTCCTTTCCCTTACATTCCTCTTTTTGTTTTTTCTCCTTGACCTSCCTGCTTTCCCATCCCTTTTCTACCTTATTAGTATTACCTGATTGTGTCTCTTTGTGCTTGACAAGGAAAAAGGAGGATAAGAACTCATTGATCTGTTTTCTTAACACACCTATATGTTCACATGCACACTTAATACGCAAAACACCCACTGCCCTCTGTTTATCCACTGCTTAGACAAACACAACCACATGAAGACACACAACAGTTTTAATTACACTTGCAGACAGTCCATCTATGCCTTTAACCCTCCTCTGGTTTTACACCTCAGCCTCTAGGTGTTGGAAAACGTGAGTTTTTTGTGTATTTGTGTGTCACAGAGTGGGGTCAAAGATGAGCACGTGTTTGCAGAAGAGTGCTGCGGGGCTTCCAGTGAGATTAGACGCTCCGTTAAAAAAAATAGATGAAAAATCACAGTTGAGAGGCACGCAATGATTTCTCACCTGGGAGGATGTCACAGAAGGAGCAACAGAGGGAAGAAAATGGAAGGAATAATTTCAGAGAGTGCACAGGCAGTATAAGAGCCCAAATGAAGTGCTTGTTAAAGGCATGAATTGTGTTGACGGGCATTTTATTGACTAGTTATGTTTTGTCCCGGTTTATCTGTCAGTCCTCAAAAAGCCAAAAGTCTCAAATATTTCCTATCAGAACAGTGAGATATATATGAGAAAGCACCAAAACGTTATAAATAATTGCTGTATTACTTATTTCACATTAAGTGTCATGTTTGTCCATGTCACAATCATTTCTACAGTTTAATTGAACAAATTAACCTCCACCCCATACATATGTAAATTATGGCTGTCACAGCGAATGCTTTAATGTTCTGTCTTAATTCAAAAGCAATTATGTGGTAATTATATTTAATTGCATCAAWGGTTTGACTGTTTATCCTGTTGGACATCTCAGGGGGATAACAGACTTCAGGCAAAAATCTCAAAGCTGTAACTTTTTTAAAAAGGGCATGTTTGATAATTTATAATCAGTTTATGAGTTAAAAACAGGGTCTTTATCAGTACAACTTTACTCCACACAGAACTAAAGCTACTATGCTGCTTTATTTATCTGTTTTTTTAAATATACTTAGCTTTTGATCTTACTTCAGAATAAAAACACAATTATTAAAACAATTCTACCAAATTCTACATTTCTGACATAAAATTCTAATAATAGCTTTCAGTTAAAACTTGTTGTTGCATTTTAATTAAATGCAAACAGCACCTTTTTGCTAGGCTGCATTCTTTTATTTTTAATCAGTAAAAAATTAAATAAATGTTTCACAATTTATGTCAAATCTTAGATGTTTTGGTTAAATGTTGAAGTTTGCTTTTAAGAATTCCAGAATGGAATGCAGTCATTGCTGCTTTTGTTGTGGCATGGGCYGAGTCCAAATTCAGAGGCTGGGTCCTCCGATGGACCCAGCTTTGGAGTAGTCTTAGGATTTGGACAGCCCCCGGTGCGGAGCTGTGAAGTAAGCGGCCGACGAATTTGGCCTTCGGAGGACCCGGACTCTGACTTTGGACACAGCCACAGTATCACTGTTGCGACATTCTCGCGAATGCAGCTAATACTGAMAACTTGTAGCCACAACATKTAMGATTTAWTTTTTACCCTTAGAGTTACACATTTAGATTTAGGATTAAATATTTTCAAATATTATTTAACATTTACATTAAAGCAAAACGTATGAACAGTGAGCTAAATAACAATAAAATGTTTGTCGAAATGTTTTACCTAGCATTTTCCTTGCAGAAAGTGAGCTAAATAATGAAAACATTTTTTATCATTTTAAAGATACACTAGGTGCACCACATGCTGCAGCAACAGATTACATGTTTGATGTTTTAAAACTGCACTGGGGATGCCAATATTTAAATTCTAATTAAAATGAGGTGTTGTAAAAATGTTAAGTTTTTTTAAAACATTTTTATGTGCTAAAAGGAGCTGATTGACTGGAGTTTATACACATATTGCTGTCTCTGTTCATGATTAAATTGCTTTCGAAGATGCTTCAGAATCACCACACAGTTTCAGCAGTTGTTTGATATTTTATATATTTTTGTTGCTAATCCTATTTAAATATCTAGTTTTTTTCTTGAATCCATTCAGAGGCCAAAGTATTTATTTTCCTCCCATTTTTGATCAACTCAGTAAAACTTTCACTATATATTTTTTATAGAATTCAAGACATTTTAATGTAAAGTTTATTGAGCATTTGAGCCTCTGAGGGTTTCTGCTGTAATAAGGCTGAAACTTTATTATGTTCCATAATGCCTGGTATTTTTCCACTGGCTGTCATTTTAAAGCAACTCAGAAAATACAGCTTTTAATATATTTYAGGTGAATGTACCAGAGTGAGATAATGGACAAAGAAGAGGTGAGAAGGTAAAGCATCCAGTTTTTCCAGTAATCTCTTTACAGCTGTGCCAGGGCATTGCCTCAACATGTCGCTTCTTTCTGTGTGACATATAGTTTTATTAATACCCACCATATTCGTGTGCTTCCCATATTTTATCAGGGTGTTAATGAAACACATTCTTTTTATGTGGATGCAAACAGTTTGCCCCTTTGAGCATTTAAATGGTGTTGAAGGTACTTCAGACTGCAGGTCCTCAGAGAGCAGCAATTACAGTTAAGTAGGGCGATATGTGACAGGTGACCTAGACTTTATAACACAAACATGCACTGATATTCGAACGCTATGATCATGGAACCTTAAAAAGAACTTGACTGTGGGGGACAGGGCTGAGAGAGTGGGTGGCTTCTTAATCCTATTAATTCTCAGCAATTGCACACTAAAGAGACAAAGATAGAGGAGAAAGGGCTGGGGGTGTTAATTGCACTGCTCAGTCTTCTCTGTTGGTGTTTGCTACTTAGGAGGTTTTAAACACATAAAATTTATATCTAAATACCTTAGCCCTCTACTATCATGTCAAGAGAACTGCCATGATTTTTCATACCAAGGGTCATAAAATAGTCTGTATTAGATTAGCTGTCAGCCCTAAACTGATCTCCTGGTACATTTAATGTGGAAAAACGGTGAGGAAAGAAGAGAGGAGCAATTAATGTAGTGTGTGCTGTTGGAGGGGTCTGCTCATGCTCTAAATGCTGTACAACCTAAAATTTAAAGGACTCTGATGTTGTGAACTGATTATGTCTGACTGATTATGTCTGACTATGATGAACTGATGTTGGATATTAAGGCTTTGTGTGCAAATAGAAAAAAAAATAAGTTATTTGTATAGATCTTGACCAGTTAGGGTTCCAACTKGAATTAGCTTAGATGTAGAACTTTTGAATATTTCTCAAATAGTAGTGTCCCAATAGAGATACAGAATACCGGTAATGGGATTGGACCCAATACCAGCATTTATATAAGTACTCGTGCTCATACAAAATGTCCCGATACTCAGAACCGATATCAATGCCGGTGTCAATACTGAATTTGATACTCCACTGAATGTATTATAGCTTACATTTTAAGGGAAAATTGTGTTGGTTCCATGTTTAAGAAATGTATACATGTTGAAAGAAATTGTATTTGTTATTTTCATTTATTTTAATATGTTGWAACCATATCATGGTTTGTATTGATTATTTGATTTGAGCAGCTGTAGAACTACAAAGAAGGAAATAGAACCACATTGTCCTAAACAAAAGCCACTGTGTAATGTTTAAGTTCTAACTCTGTAAGTACCCGGTATCAGAACCCAGTATCAGTTCTCAGTATCAGCAAGTACCCAAGCTGAACTCCTCATACTTGGTTTGAGAAAAATTGGTATTAGGACAGCCTTACTCTCAAAAACTTAACAACATGTAGCTCACAAAAATATGACTTAAGGTTTTGATATTTTCTCTGGTCGATATATTTGTTTTTTTTAAAGTTAGTATTTTATTAGATTAGCTTTTATTGTGGTTCGGTGTTGTGCTGATTAACCCATTTTTTATCCCTATTAAAGGGATAAAAAATGTAATGACATAAGAATGTAGCACTGTTTTGTCCAAAGCAATGCCCGACTTTTATTCAAATTAGCCCAAATAATCGACCAACCCAATATTTGGCCTTCCTCTTTTTCAGTATATGTTCATGTGTTTAAATTATTAGAGCAAAAACCTCCTGCATGCTTCCCTCCATTCAAATTCAAGTAATCATAAACACCAGCCTTGCTTGTTTCAATGAGATGAAACCTGTCACCACTGGATGCTCATTCATCTTTCATCTTCAATTAGCCATCCATCATCTCTGATTTTCCTCACACACACACACCATTCTGCTGCCAACTCCGAGAGATAATTTCACCCAAACCCGTGGCTAGCACGAATAGCTGTACATCTGCTGTATTTCCTGAAACAGATCTGTGAACTTTATGTAGGTTTCAAGAGGGAAGCATGACAGAGGAAAGGATCAGAAAACAGTTGTGTAGAAGAAAGAAAAAAAAGACTAAGACGGCACAAGAATATTGATGCGACACTCTTTACTTGTTGAACTCTTGATAATGTATAAAAGATTTCTCAGCCCGACATGCTTTCCTGTTAATTTTGCTTTAAATTTTTTACGAAGTCTGAAGCTTTATAGCTTTTGGCTTGAAAATATATTTTTTATTGACTATCTTTTATGAAACGACATAATAAAATGTCTGCCGATGTGGACCTGAGGGAGAATAGCTTCATTTTACTCCTTCACATCTTTCTTTCTGCTTCTTGTTCTTAGTTTTTTTTCTCAGCCTTTAATTTAAGTTACCTTACTTTGTCCTGTTAATTAATAAAGCAAATTACATTTTAATGTGATTTCTTGATGTTTTTTTTTTATCTCCCATAATTTGCCAACAACATAAATTCTGACAGTTGTTTTTTTATTATTATTTTCTCTGTGCCAGTCCAAATCTGTTTTTTTAACCTGACATAATGTAAACATCATTGAATAGAATATAATTTATAAATCAAAGTGGCTGTCATTCCTTCTGGCAGTAGTTTTGTTTGTTTATAGCAATTATGATAATTTGTGAATAACACTTGTTGGCACATGCTGCATCTTTAAAATAACATCAGAAATAGCATTTTTTCCCTTTTTTGGCTGAGACTGCTCTTTTGTAGTCTCTGAAACTTCTTGATTTTTGTCTCCACTGTAATAAGATTGATGCAAGTTATAAAGTCAGTCAGTCTAAGAATGTGTCTTATACCTTTAAGATTCAACAGCATTTGTCCTAAATCATTGACTTTTGACGCACAAAGWAATTTGTGTTTCTTTCGTCTTCTTTTGTGTTTCATTTGTCTTCACCTCTTTAGTCAAGAGTTGTTGCCTGCATGACAGCTATTCTCAGTCAGATGGATGATCGTCATTATGCCACTTACATAGAAACCTTCACAGGAACCACTGATCTGGTGGTAAGTTCACACACTTGCCTGAACTCAGATAATTATGAGCTAATGGTTTGAGAAGAAATAAAAGTAAACCAAAGTTTTTATTTTCTTGCCTTTTGTTCTTTTCTTGTTTTTGATCACAGGACTTCCTGATGGAGTCCTTTCTACTTTTCAAGGACCTGATAGGGAAACATGTATATCCCTCTGACTGGATGGCCATGATCATGGTGCAGAACAAGTACAGTACCTTTCCGCGCTCTAACTCTTTCACTTATACAGAGAGAGTGGCAGGTTCAGGTCTTCAGATTTCTTCTCCTACAGCTAAATCAGCCACAGCAGTCCCATCATGGCCTGCTGGTGGACCCACAAGGCTTCGGTGCTGCATCTTAAAAGATTGTCAACATCCACAGTGAATTGTTCGCTGGCACAAACCCACACGAGGATGAGTTAGAGAGAGTAAAGCTGGGATCAAGGCTGTAATGATGAAAACGGCTGATGGGACAAATGTGTCTGTGCGTGAGCTGATAGAGCAAAATCTATCAGCGATGGAAACTAGAGGGGCGGCTAAAGCTGTGTCAAAGGGAAAAGCCAGTGGAAGGATGTGAAGACAGGTTGATAAGGAGTCTGCGGAGGAGGCTTTGTGAAGAAAATGTTCAAATATAAAGAAAGAGTCCTACTATAGAAAATGTAAGGAGGAGGAGAGGAGTGACAGGGTTGTCATTTGACTCTGGATAATGATGACAGATTGTGTTTGTGCCAAAAGAGAACGGTWGCAGTTTCTCATCAAATTCAAAAAATGCAAAGAGTAACGTCTCACTGATACACCTGCACTCTGTGCTGAGGCGCCATCATGCCGTCACTTGAAAAGAAAATTAGACTTTAAAGCAACACAAAGTAAAAATCAGTTTGAAGGATTCTACTTGAGCAGCTTTTGAAGCAAAAATTCTTAGACAATACTTTTAACAAAAAAAGGCAGCTGAGATGCATTTCATCTACTTTAAATAATCACATTTTTATTCAAAAATGTTTTTTGCGTGTGTTACAGATTATTAGATCAGTAGTAAAATGTGTAATAGCAATAAAGATAATCTAATGTCTGAGATTTATCACGTATACTTGTTAAGTTCTTAGTAGAAGCCTATTTTGTGTTTGTGATTAAAAGTAAAACAATATTCTTGTTACTTAACTATAAATTCATCTTTTTATATTCTCAGAGCATTTTTGCTGTCACTTGATCTAGCAAGTCATTGTTAGCTGTACAAGCTGTGCAGTGAGCAGGTATTCAGGAAAACTAATCAATGTGCAAGGATCAGCCAATGGGCAAGCAGGTCCAACCCACTGATGCTGATTGACAGATGAAGCCATTCTACTGAAAGTGTCATTGTAAAGTAAATAAGTCATGGCAAAAACAAATAATAAAAATATATATGACTTTGTAGAAAGGACAATATGTATTTRAAATTTAAAATAAATACCTAAAAAATCAGCATTGTTGGGAAAAAAATTCTTCCATAAAATAATGTTTTATATTATTAAATAATATACATTTATAAAGGAGAATGAAACTATTTCATAATAGTGAGCTTAGAATTGTATATGCATTCAGGTATTTCACAACTGCGTTGTCACATCTTACATTCATTCATGTAGTTAATTACTTCATAATGTTTTATTAATTTATTTCCGAACGTTTTGGCGTTCCATAATTAAATTGGCAAATAAAAATAAACTATTTGAACTTTCATTTTTAATCCCAGAAAAAACTATTTTTAATTTCTTAATTCATAGCTAAAAAAACTTTACTTATCACATTTCAAATTTGCGCTCAAAACTCAAAATAATAATTTATATTTGCTAGTTGTTGTTGATCATTAAAAGTAAGTTAAACATATATTTAATGTGGAGACATTTATTTCTGGGTCATTTTCATTTAGTGTTTGATATACTTTGTTTTAAGGATTATTTTGTTTTGTCTTGTTTAATGAATAAAATAAATAAAACCAATAAAAAATGTTTCTGATCTACTGCATGTCAACTCATTAGGGTGTTCCTGAGAGCCATCAATACCTATGCTGACACAATGAACCAGAAGTTCCTCAGTAATGATGACTTTGAAGTTCAGGTAGTTTTCCATGCATTTTATCTCAACTTTATGTAATATTGATAGCAAGTGTTATTTTGTTTTTTTTTCACATAACTCTTTATCATAAGCCTTTGTCGTCTCTTGCTACTTCTTTTAGCTGTGGAATAACTACTTCCACTTGGCAGTGGCGTTTATTACTCAAGAGTCTCTGCAGCTTCAGCATTTCTCTCCAACCAAGAGGAACAAGATTCTGGTCAAGTGAGAATACAAGCATTTAATTTCCCTTTTTGTTACCATGTCCATTTTTTTCCCGCAGTAATGGCGCTACCTATTAAAACCCTGTGTTACCTGTAGATTTGCAATCAATTTAGTTTGAGGCAGAGTCGTGCAGCATTATCTTTCCTAAGGGGTTGTTCGGGTTCTGAATGCGAAAATAACAGTATTGATTAAATAATTGCTTGCAGGCTAAGAGTCAAACTTTTCTTTCCGTCTTTGTTTCTGTATGTTTTTCCTTCTCAATCTCTTCCTAACACTTTGTTTCAGATATGGAGATATGCGAAGGCTCATTGGCTTTGCTATCCGTGACATCTGGTACAAACTAGGTGAGAAAGCCTGAATGGGTTGAGTCATGCCTTTACATCATAACACTACTGTAGGTTTCTTTAAAAAAAACTTTAAAAAGTGAATAAACATAATGTCATTTACAGTATATAGATGTTATTTAATGAAACATTTATCAGTATAAGATGTACAGTTGTCAGAAAAAGCAGAAATGCAGGACTGCAAATACTGTAGAAAGCAGAGTTAAAGGTTGTTAAAGCAGAAAAAAAGGCTATTTTCCTTCCATGAGTCACCTACAGTAAAGGAAAGTGGAAGGTGCTGAACCATTAGAGACCATCCAAAGCATTTTCTCCATTGCCTTAGTGATTTCTTTACCCTTTTAAGTTACAAAGTCAAAGGTAAACTGAGTTTAGTTTTCCTCACATGAAGCACTCCTCCTGAACTTCTTCAAAAAGGTTGTTTGTAGTCCTGGCGTTTCTCCGTTCACATCACCGTGAACGATATTTGCCTACAGGCAAGTTTGGCACACCTCAAACGTAGAATGAGCATCTGCTTTGCACTCTGCCTTTTGTGACCAATTAGACCAGATGAGGCCTTTCAAGAGGGAGGATTTAAAGAAGCACGAGCTCCAGCAGTGGATTTCAGACACAGGGTGGCAACAAGTGCCATAGCACTGTAAGAAATAAGAAACATGTAGCACTTTATAGTAACTACACCTTTTTTTGGCCTTACTGAAGCAATAATAAATGGTTAGTTAACCTTTAAAACATTGCTAACCCAGTATGATTTACCGTATTTACTCATGTATAATACAATCATAATTTTTTGAGCTTACAAAGCATAAAAATCTAATTATCAATAACATGTACCCATGTATAATAC